CTTTTCAAAGCATCTGCAAAAAGGGCATATGATGACTGAAGCTGTTGTGAGAGATTGTTGCTTTGAAGAAGAAATAATACTGGCCCAAGTACAGTTCCTTAAGGCATGTCGCTGGTCAATGGGAATCAGTCTGTCAAGAAGTCATTGACCTGTACTCTAAACTTCCGTCCAACAATAGACTCGTGCAACCACTGAAGTAACGTGCCACGGATTCCGTATGTCCTCAGTTTACGAAGGAGTACCTCATGGTTCACTCTCACAAATGACTTACTAAGTCGGTGTGCATCACGTCAACATCATTCCGTTCATTGCGAGCTCACACCCACTGGTGGTTTGCATACATTAAGTTGGTGATGCAGGATCGCAGTTTCGTAAAGCCGTGTTGGGCTGGCGTCAATACGTCTATCGATTCGAAGAACGACGACAGACAGTTTTTCACAACCTTCTCGAGAACTTTGGATAATACCGAAGTCAAACAGACCGGTCTATAGTTCTCTTATTTACTCGGATCACCACCCATGGGAAGCGGTCTCACTATCGAGCATTTCCAGTCGTTGGGGACAGATCGTTCAGAGCGTGATTGATTGAATAGGTTTGTCATGGCTGGTGAGATGACATTCGACAGGGACTTGCGTATTAGTGGGTGAAGTCCGTCTGGTCCGGGGGGCTTTGCAACATGAGGTTGACGAGTAGCTGGTACACTTCGACTGCATCACATTGTAGGCTGTCGAGCAAGACTGGCGCAACCTGTGCCGGTACTGAGACCGCCGTCGGTTTACTGGAAAATACAGTGAGGAAGTGCGTAGCCAAGGTGTCCGCGCGCTCCGTCCTTGAAATGAGAGTCTGTCCGTCTAAGCTCTCTAAGACCGGTAGGTCGCCCCCAGGTTTCAGTTGACATTTCAAGTAGGCAAATATTCTCTTGGGGCGGTTGTGGCCGAGGATGCTAACTCCACTTCGAACTTCCTGCGCTTCTTGATCTTTGCAGCGTTACATAAGTTACGCTGTTTCTTGTACATCGTGTAATCTTCATCAAAATACGAGCTGATGTACCTATCCCAAAGTTTGCGACGTCGTCGCGCTAACTGTCACATAACTGGTCACATAAAAAATGTGGTCTCCTCTATCACAACGTTTCACGTCTTCCACTTCACCTAGCACAATCATTGTACACACATTCGAATCGGACTAACTCCCCATGTTCAGTGGGCATATTGTTACGGAATTGTTTCCCACGAAAAGTAATTTGCTCTACCCAAGTTGTTTTAACGCGCTTTGTGCCTCTATCCAGACGCGCCACTCTGTTGTTTTTAACAGTTTTCACTGCTTCAATACTGTGATCCATCAAGGATTCCCCGCGCCATTTAGTGGTCCTAGAATTACATTCATAGGATCATGTCTAACGAAGCCACGATTCAATCTGTGGTTTCAATTGCATTCGCCCATCGCCGGCGCGTTTCCCTGTCATCCACCCACCGCAAGCCACTTTGTCCTACAGGAACCAGTGTGGATCAGTAAGCTAACCGAACTCCGTGAATGTTTGTCCTCGTCGTCCACACTCACCTACGGTAACCTAAGTCGAGAGTGCGACTGGGACAAAGAAGGCGAGTGTCACTCGCCTACTACCTCACGTGACAAGACGGGGGAAGCGTTCGTTTGAAACAACGGCCCTCAGTAGCACGGATTCCACATAAGCGCAAAGGTGATAAGCAGAAGTGTCCATACCTAGTTAAAGGAAAAATTTTTTGAAGTTCGCGGCCTTCCGTTCCACTCCTTCTGTGCTGGTTTAAGTCAACTACAACACAAGAAACAAATCAACCTGACTGATTCGCTCTGGTTTTACCAAACATGCAGCACAATCCCAATAATAAAATGTATAATATCGATCGTAAAAAGTGTAAAAAGCTGACTGAAACAGTCCGGCAGATGGGAAGCTTCAGGGGTTTGCCATTAGAATCTAACAACACCGGTCTTGCTCTACAGCAAACAGCTAAGTCGAAGTCTAAAGTCAGGCTTGCTAACCGCCCGACGGCATCTGCGCCACCTACTTCGACAATTACTAACCCTTTAATTAGGCAAGCCACATCCAGCGTGACTGCTCTTAACTCATCCCTATATGCTATACCTCACGAGTTGCTCACAACACCGACACCGACAGTCCAGAGCCGGGTAACATACGCATCAATCGCCTTGATAAAAGCGTCTAAAGAGACACGCTACGTCCATTTCCTGGACCAAGCAAGAACGATGCGACGCCGTTTTCACAAAGTTCTTTGGTGCCCACCAAACAATCCAAGTTACCAGCCAAAACACTCAAACCGACATTCGTGAAACAGAACCACAGCGCGTTAACGGTCGTGTGCACGAACGTTCCTGAGTCCAGCTCTGGCACAATAAACAGCAAGTTGGTAGATGATCGCAACCAGTGGCATTCCATCTGCAATATGATTGGTATTCAAGTTGGTCCAACTGGGCTACGACGCGTAGCGCGTCACTCAAATTCACTGCACAACGGCAAACCTCGATTTCTTTGAGTAACCTTGAATTCAACTGAGGTGACAGATAGCCCTACACTCAGCAGTTCATCTTCGCATCTCATCAAACGGGGTACGCATACTACCAGATATACCTTGGAAAGGACGGTCAAGGGAAACAGAAAACCATGGCGATCCTTCTACGAACGAAAACAAAAACGTATTTGTTCATGGTGTTCCTGAACTACTGGACTCTCCTGAGCACAAAGCGCAAAAATATGACCGAGAGCAGTGGTGCTACATCCGTGAAGCACGCTCGCTGGACCACGTTATCACTAAATCACTAACGAGAATTCCTTCATCTCCTAACTACAAGGACTGCGGTCTAAAAATCTTGAAAGTCGTGCTACACTCCGATGGAATGACAGAAGTCTTATTGGACGGCTGGTTGAAGCAGCGCACCTGGTTGCCTACCGAGATCAGGCTAAAGATAGCAAGTGCAAGGCCACTAGTTTAAAGCACTTCATTGAACCATGAAAACTCAGTAAAAATTTGCCTCCACAATCCGGTACAGCTGCAGACAATATGCATTAGCAAACCTGATAAAACGGTCATGGGTTCCATCCTCCTTAGAGGACCGAGGGAATGCGCGCCACTGACGAGCCCCAATAGGGCGAAACGCGTCTGGCGCTTTTCCGGATTAGGCTCTGCTATGCAATTTGTGAACTATTGGGATGAAAGCCTTATCAGAAATACAACTGAAATCCTGCTACTCGTGAGTAATATAAAAGAGAAAGTCTCTATCTGGAACGCTCCATGCAGCCTGCCTGAAATTCAAAAACCAAGGAGCCACACACAAAAACGATTTGCGGCTGACAGACGAACGATCGGTATAAAACAAAACATGAATTAGGAAGGTTTCGGTGTGGCTATTTCCCATCACTGCACTTCACGACCGAAGGTTTCGACTTTGTTTAAACTCCTCAGGCAGTGATAGACAAACTGGGAGAGGAACTCGGCGCATAGTGCTTGGCGGCTATCAAAATTAACCTCCGCGAGCAGTGTTTGACACAGCGGTTAGAAGTTGATTTTTGGGTATTGGAGCACCCGAGGTGTGTCTCGGATTGCGACACGCAATCACAATCGTGGCCTCAGTTGACGTGAAAGTCAGCCTCTGCCAATACGGTCACTGGGACAATCTCTACCTAATGAGTCCAAACAAAGACGAAACCGTCGGTCGTGGAGTGCAGGGATGGGGGGAGCCATACCGAAGCCCTCCACTTCGGTGACGGTCACAGTGACCGTATTGGCATAGCCTCACTTCGAAGTCAACCGAGGCCACGATTGAGATTGACTGTCGCAATCCAAGACACACGGTGGGCGCTCCAAAACCCGAAAACTAACTTCTAACCGCTGTGTCAAACACTGCTGCCGGAGCTCAGTGGTCTAGTGATCATGGCGATAGCCACCAAGCACTATACGCCGAGTTACACTCCCAGCTCGGCTATCTCTACTGGATGAGTCTAAATAAAGACGAAACCGTCGGTCGTGGTCTGCAGGGATGGGAGAGAGCCACACCGAAACCGTTCCCCCAAATAAAAGAGATTTTGGGATAAAGACTGATACCCCTAACAGTTATTCCAGACTGTGGGAAATCGCTGAAATATATTTCCTTACTTTTTCACCCATATACCTGGTTGCATGTAAAAAAAAGATGTAATGAAATGTGTCAGCTTATACGCCGTAACGGCGCTTCGCTGCCGCGCGACCACCACCAGTCGCGCGCGGGCTGAGTATACCGCGAGGACGCCCACCCCTACGCGGATTCGAACCGGTGACCTTATGGTTGGAAAGCAAACGTGCCAACCGCTCGGCCACCGGCCGATCCTGGTTACATGTAGATTCAGCAGACTGGTTTCGCTAACAAAACGTAGAAACAGATTGGACATCACAGGAAGTGAAAATCTTCAATTCTCGCTGTCAAGTCTGGAGTCGGATATTAGCAAGCTTGCTCAAGGAGATCGAGCTCAATGCTCGTATTATTATCTCGACGAACATATTGTTACGAAGTTACTACACCTCCTAATTCATGATGTGCTTTACATTTAAATGTCAACAATAATTAAATATAATATTAAATATTATGTCTTTTGTGCAATTACAGACAAGTTGCTTGATGTTGCCGCATAGTGAATGTTATCTTGAGGCTGTGAAATTAAAAAAATCGAGGTTGCTAAGGAAAGCACTGACAGCAAAAATTCATAACAAAAGATACCAATTTGACCACTGGAGATCACAGATTTACGTTTGTTAAGCGCTGCGCATTGCTGAGGTTGTGGTGATCAAGCGTGGGAGGTCATGAGAAATAGAAAGGTTTGAAAAGAGGCCACGGCGCGATAAAGTTTGGGAATGTCTGCTCTAGACTATGCGAACATATTGCTCCCATGGGTTACCGTGTTCGGGTAGTAAACATAATGGATTGATGCAACAGTATTACGTTGGAGCTCGCTACATAGAAGGAAAACTTACCATCAGATGCAAATACGTAGCAGCTTCGTAAACGTGCAATTCTGCTCTCCAGAACACAACAATACATTCCAATCGAGAAAGTATTTAAATAGCTCAGTTTCAACTCTTCCTGTTGAAGCCGCAGGTTCCTCGCACCGCGCAGGTGCATTGCCCGGAGTACACCACCATGGTGTTCATACAAGTAATTGGTGTTTGCTTCACACCGATACACGACGGGCTGAAATTTGGAGCTCATCTGAAGCAGTCTGCGATTTGATAGACCCAATTCCACAGATGCTGCAAAACAGTATTTGAAAGACGTTCCGTGAAATGAAACAAGTCTTTAAAGTTACGAAAAGGCATCAGCAGTACGTCCCTATGCATTACCTACGTTTCGCAGCCGCGCGATCACAAACAGTCACGCATGGGCTAAGGATAGTGTGAGGGTTGCGCGGTCAAATACACAGACTTGAACTCGCGCCCTCGGTTTACCAGACAGGCTTGTGATCCTTTAGACCACGGGGTGGAGAAAACAAATATTTACTATTTACACATGTTTCGTTGATGACACCGAGGTTGGTAACATGGTCAGATTTATGCCGGATTTTAGTCACGGTGAAACAATGAACAACTGTAGACATGGTTGATATCCATGTAGCTGTGCTGACACACAGCAGCCAGTTGTCTGCTCGATGGAGCACTACTGGGATCTATGCAGTCCTACGAATCCTGTCTAGTCATTCCTGTGGCTCCAACTAATGAGTGACATGTCTGTCAATTGGAAGCATGGGTTGTGCACTTTGTCCTACGATTATATCCCGTCATCGGACTACGTTCCAAGGTAGCAGCATGTTGTGTATGTTACTCGGAATTATGACTGGTGACCACATAATGGTTTGAAGTCTAATGGAGTGATGTTAGGTTTGGTATATCCACAAGAGCTAGCAAAACGATTATGTCATAGGTGACGATACGAACATTAGAAGCCACAATCCTCAACACTGAGCTAACGCTTACAGTAATTACACAAACCCTTGAACAAGAGGCAACAGACAACTGGAATGTGCGTTACACATGCTTTGATGTATATAAGTAAGCCGTGGAGGAGTGAGATGAAGCAGGAGTTCGGACTAATTTGAAGCTCGCCTCTCTTCCTGTTAAGGCGATCAAAGTATCCCAAAAAATTTCCCTTGAGAACCAATTTATTGTATCGCATAAAGATAAGCGATTAACGTGCTCTCCGTATTCAGTCACAGGTAATGCTTTTACACAGTGTGCCTACACTTACGGTGGACGTGGACGTTGATTCGGCGTTCTGCCACCATCGGGAGATCCGGAAGGGAGCAGGTTGCTGAATACACGCCCACTTGAAGTTTATCTTTCGGAATGACGCCAGCCAATGAGCCGCTTCGTATCTGCGTGGCACAGTGATCCATGTGGCTGCAGCTCACATTCCATTGAAGTGCGTCCTTGAGAACGAATCCAACCTCCACTGGGCTCACCAAGCAAAAGATGGACCAATGCTGACCAAGTAATACATGGTGTTCCGTTTTCTCCGGCTGAATCGAGAGGGTAACCGTTTCTAAAAGACGTATTTAAAAGACACGATGGACCGCAACTTTCAAACAAGCTGTGTGATACAGAAAAAATTATTGCCAACTAGTCGTGGTCATTCTCTCAGTTATCCTCGTCTACAAGCAACCAATGAAAGATGAAGGCAGTGCGCTGGACACACAGGGTTGTTAGAACCAGAGGAGTAGCAACGGGGGAGTGGGAACGGTCCGTCCCGGGCGGCATATGACAGGGGCGACATTTCTAACACCGTCGATTGTTCGATGCCAAATCTAAAGGGCAAAATATCCGGATAAGATGAGGATTGAAGAATTTAATGTTACTCTGTGTGACCAACAACGCCTTTGCGCCATGTCACACCTGTGCAAACGTTCCTCTCAGCTATCTCCTGACTTGTCCCATTGTGGTCATTTTTATCATACTTACTCCAATGTCCCAAATGATCATCCATCTCGTCGAAAACTAATGTGCACTTTACCCTGAACAGATTGTGTGGCCGCACGCGCCTATTTTGCCCTCAATCCATGCGAAAAATTGACCACCGCCCCGGGCGGCAAAAGTCGTTGCTATGCCACTGGGTAGGACGGTGTAACTTTGGTATATTACCAGCACTTGTGTCGTACCTCTAACGGAACAGTTGATTCCCATTTTGCATTACCTGAACTTACTGCATAAAAAGGACGGAAATTCGGGGGGAATGTATGGAATACTTAATAGCAGCGGGATTTTTGCCGTAGATTCCTAGTAAAATATCTAACCACGCAACCGGCAAAGCGCTGGACGACCGTTTTGTGCTTTCAGAGGAAACAACTCTCTAGTGCTTTCCAGAGTTGCGTAGTTGGATGTGACTTAAAACACTATACTAACAGAGCCAACTCGGTGTACTCATGAGGTATACTAATTGGCAGATGTGTTAAATGTCTAGCGTAGCTTGTCATTAACGATCGGCTACAACAATTAGTGAACGGATGTGCTCACTTATTTGTACACACTCGTGCAAACTTCCGTGATGCGATGATCGGGCCTGCAACTGTCCCATGTGGCTGAGTTGTTATTGAAAGTGTACTAGAGAAAAGGTTACCCCAAAGAAAGTTTGTTGTATACCAGGAGCGCCACACATTTTGTGGAGTCTGGAATAATCACTATTATACAATGTTAAGCTGCTTCCTAACACTGTCTCATGATGACTGTGACAGCAGTTCAATATCAGAAGGTGCTTTCTTGCAAATGTTTAGAATGCCCCTCCTCAATTAGCCTATCCATTTCGTTCATATAACCTCGAGAAGAAAGAACGGAAATAACACTGTTAAACCATTGTTCACTATAAGAGTCTAGGCGACCCATTAGTGCATTTTGACGTGGTGAAAGATAAACCCATTCAACTACAGTAGATGTACACCGTGCTTACCCACATAGAGTAGCTTGAATTCAACTGGTCCCGCCAGTATATGTCCTTCGTGCATCGCAGCACACATAAAGGTACATATCTGCCCCAAAGGGTTAGCCATAGGAATAAGGCTATCCTCTTCTATTTTGAATTGTGTATCCGGGCCATTTGTCTGATGGATTACAACGTTTGCTGATGGGATCTCAGCTGTTCTTCCCGGTGTAAAGATGCATGGCTTGATAGGACGAACGGGAGCTTCTGGGAGCAGTACGGCTGTCCCAATCGTAGTGAGCGAGCCGTAATCTGGCATAATTAAAAATAAACATTTTAAACCAAGTCAAAATGGGGGTTTTCTGTACAGCAAGGATGAGTATTCAGCCATATGATATACATGCATTGTAGAAAGAACAAAGCTTCATGCAAGTGGATACCAAAAGGAGTCCAAGCAAGTGTAACAGACAGCAATACGACCATAAGTAAAATTTCCTGGCAAATTGTTGAAATCTTCTTTTGGTCCCTTCAAATACGCGATAGCCTTGGGGCGCCTAACAGGTCATCGCATCATCATCATCATCATCACTAATACACCTTAGCTGCGGGTGAGAAACGCACTTCAGCTAATGTGTTGCAGGACAGAAAAAAAGTAGATACTAAAAAGCACAAACCACATAAATATTCAAAAGGCAATTAGTATAATGTTACATATCATATTATCATGGAAACGCATGCTAGCATAAGTGGATTAGTGATTCCGTTTTTTTGATGAAGTTAATGCACAAGTAGTGGTGATTTTCAGCCTAAAATGCGATGTGTCTAAATCGGATTGTACGATTCCATATATACACACCATGTTAGTTTAAATTGGACATTTTGTAAACCACTTTAAAACATTGCAAACCGAATGGGACATATAGCATTCTAAGTGGAAAATCACCAACTTGTTAGCAAGAAACAAGGACTAAGGCGACCAGGCGATGTTCAAACTAAATTGTAGTCATGCTACTGCAACCGAATGGTGTAAGCAGCGGGTGCCCCTGCAACCCGTTCTCTTAACTATGAACCTCGACCAAAGGCAGTGACTGAGTTTCCCTCTCTCTGTCCATCGGTCTTCACGTAGTTGAAGTGTCTGTGCTTTTAGGCATGAACCTGTGTAGCTGTGTGACTATCAAAAATATCAGACTTCCGAATGGCAGAGTGTATCATGAATTAAACAAATGTTTCTTAGCATTGGAAGGTCATTGTGAAGCACTCGTTTTGTGATTAGATTGCGATACGCAATTTCAATGTGGAATGGGATTCTCACTGAAGTAAACCTTTGACAGTTCGATCACGGACTGTAGCTGGTGAAGCAGGTATGCGGCGACCCAGCAGTCCCCATGTCACTCCATGGGTCCTGACGTATTTTGTGTATGTGGGTGTGTGGGCGAAACTATGCACCTGCTGGACTACCGGAACAGTGTAGGCTATCATGACTTCACCCACTCTATCTTCACTGGCTTACTGCCGCAGTAGACGATGTTCAGGCCACATTGTGGTTACGCGAATGTAAAAATGCAATGGGCGATTGTCATTCGTCGCACATTTTGGTTTCTTCGCACACCACAAGTCGAATAAATGGAAGTTGGGTCTGGTGCGTTCGTGGGAGACACATCTGTTTCGTATCGCATGCATCACTCATCGCCTATAGATTTTCCAGATCGCTTGCATCCGTACTCCAAACTACGAGTCACCAAACTAAGGCCCGCGGGCCAGATTCGGTCAGTCAACGGTATCAGAGTTTGAGCATCCAAATAACACAAGGCAACAACAATTTTAACGAGTGGAAACGGACAGTGTTTCTCGTATACGTTGAGCAGGCTGAATTCAAATCTGACACTAGTTTTTCTGTGTAAGCTATAGTTTTTTGAAATTCCGCCAAGAATTTCACTTTTTGCACCTTTTAGCTACTTTTCGATTCAGTACGTGCAAAAGTATAGGGCTGCAAGGAAAGGAACAGTGGCTGTTATGTACTTTGTATGTGATTATTCAAATTTGACATTAGTGTTTCTCTGTTAGTTACAGATTTTAGGAAAAATGACTTTTACAAATCTTGCAACAGACGAATGTCTTCACACTGTGGTCTATGAACCGAGGTATCTTAGATATATACATTGGTGCAAACATATATCCTGAACGCAACAATTTGATTAAGCATGACATAAACACAAAAATGGTTGTGTAACAAGCATCAAGCGGACAAAACTTTGCGCGTATAGCTTTTGCATCGAAATATTTTTTTAGGGAAGTCACGGTTGATGTTCTCGGACCGCACCTCTTCCTAGCCTTCATTGACGACGTCACACCGCAAGTGGAGTTTTCGCTGCTACTATACGCGGATGACGCGAAGCTGTGGCGCACAACTAACCTTCCGGACGATGCCCACGCACTTCAGATGGACCTCGACCGCCTACATCAGTGGTCCATAGAAAACAACCTTCCATTTAACGCTTCGAAATGTTGCGTCCTTTCTACCCGCCCTTCGGTTTTCTCCTATATATCACCTGGGAGCGTCTATCCTCCAGATCTCTTCAGCCGAAAGAGACTTGGGTATAATTACCCAGACCAGTCTTTCCGTATCCGCTTCCTGCTGGAAAGCAGCTGCTGCTGTTAACCGCATGGTAGGATTGCTGAAACGAACCTTCGGTCAAATTGACCCCAGCAATTTCCGCCCCCTCCTCAGCGCTTTTCTTCGACCCCACTTGGAGTTCGCTGTCCAGCCTTGGAGCCCTTGGTTGCTGAAGGACCAACGTATACTCGAAGCCCCACAACGTTGAGCAACCAAACTGGTCCGAGGTCTCAAGCACCTAGATTATCCACAACGACTTCAGTGCCTGGGCCTCTACTCGCTTAAGTACCGACGTCTACGGGGTGACCTGATCCTTGTATTCATGATCTTATCCAATCCTGGACATCCCTGTCGCCATCTACTTACACTGCACCAATCGGGCTCCCACCTACGTGGCCACCCACTGAGGCTCACACATCAGCACAGTCGGCTGAACTGCAGACGTCGCTACTTCGCTTTGCGAATCTGCCGACCGTGGAATGCTCTGCCTGCCGATTTAGACTTGGCACCCACTGTGGCGAACTTTAAGACCCGCCTGGACTGTCATCTGGCCGAGTTACACCGCGATATTCCCTAATATAACTACCTTCTACTGGATGGAATTTCTTCTTTTTTCTTCTACCTACTTCCTTTCCAAAGCCGTTTTTAGAGGGCGTGGTGGGATGTCACCTTTTGAGCCGGCGTGCATTCTGTTTAAATGCCGCATAAACCCGATGAAAATACGGCTAACAAGCGAGTCCAACCCGCTATAAGGTTGCTTGGCCTTTCATTAGACCCGACCTGAACTCTTTTTATCCTATGGGTCATGTAAAGCTCGAGCTTTTATTCCCATTAAATACAATGTTCCAATGTTCCAATAGTCCGCCTTCATGTGTTTGTCCCATCCTCCCTGATAACGTTCTTCCATCCTCATCATATCTTGATGAAAACGTCCCTACTGTTCGTCATCTACTGCCCCAATATTTACGGGAATTGATCAAGATTACTGTTCAAGAAATACAGCCTGACGCTCATGTTGCATCTAAGCTCGCGAAATGCCAACAAGATTCTGTCAACCAGTTTCTCATAATTCTCCGATTTTTTGTTCCCAAGAAACTTATGTATAACCGCCACAAATGATTGCCACGCATTCATCTCCTTGGTATTCATCAGTGAGTTAAATTCTTCATCACGCACAGGAGTTCGAATTTGAGGGTCGTGGAATACGACAACTTTAATCTTCAACAATGACACAGACGGAAAAGCAGAAACTATGTACTGAAAGCGGTCGCTATCAGTATTCAAAGCTCTCATAAACTGTCTCATAAAGCCCGTTTTCAAATGCAGTGGAGGATATATGATCGTCTCTCTGTTGACAATTGGACCATTCACAATGCTTGGCACGCCAACCTGCAGAGGTTCAAGTCTTGGCCAATCCTTTGGTGTCCAATGTTTCATTTCAATACCTTTCTTATTAAGCATGTATAAATAACAGTCTGTTATTTGGTTCGTAGGTTCTTGCCAAACCATGGGAACTCCAAATGGAAGGCTTTTGCGTTGTCCTTCTATTCAGCCACGAAACATTTCATCACAATAATGACAAAATGTGAGGTGCCCAATTTTTGTCTTTGCCCCCAAAGGGTATTTCAAAGTGTGCTTTATAGACACGTTTCACAAACGAAGTGATGGTTCTTCTTTGACGAACGAATGTATAACATTCACATATATAGCAAATGCATAAGATTCATTTGCACATTTATGTCTACCTGAATGATCCATGGGCATATTTGAAACGAAAGTGGATTGGGAAATAATTTTCTATCTATGTAACATATCAAATTGCATGAAAACTAGAGCAGCCAGGGAAAAATAGGTTTCCTATTTGAAATCAGCATTAAAAGTTCATGTAGAATCACTTTGAAGAGCTCTTGCATCTGAAAGCTGACAAAATGTTTGTTGTCCTGTGGAACACGCCCATGTTCACGGTTTTCGCACGAATGCGCTTTCCAACATTTCGTTGCATGACCCCACTCCGAATGCGTTCATGCGATAATACCACCGTATCCCAGTCGTGTTTGGCCCCTTCATGTTGCAAAGCAGTTTCGACAGTTTGAGCGATACTCAGAGTTTACTTACTCAGTGAGTGGTCAAACCGCGATGCCGCAGTTCGCGCGGTAAGCTCGGTAACGCTTGGCACTCGCTTATCCTAAACGCGTGCTTCACCCCACTCACCCGCGTGCATGTTAGTCTGCATGTGACCCACGCAGTCGTCTCGTTCACACAGGCACAGCGCGGTGCGCCGTGACTTTCATGTGGCTGTCCTTGTCATCGTGGCGTAGTAACTTATACGAGCACCAGCTGTGGTGGTACGTCAGGGCCTCGTGGTAGACTTTTCGAACCCATGATGTTCACGAGGTGTAACCTCGTCAAGACAAAGGGGGCATACCATAATCGTCTTAAGGCAGATCACATATCTGCTAAATGTGGAGACGGCGAAGGGTGCAGAGTGCCAGTGAGGAACCAGATTGGCGGAAGCGTTGGATTTTGGTGATTTCGGTCTGTCTCTGCGGCACCTATGGATGTCACTCGTCGAACCGCAGTCAAAAACCACTGCTGCAACTATTCAATTGGAAAAAATAGATTGAAAGGGAAAACAACTGTTAGGATAGAATAATCTCACAGCAAGTGCGCCATTGCGCATGGTACTTGGCCATATCCT